AGGCATTAAAAGATAAATAATCTATAAAAATACCGAAAAATTTCTGCTGGAGACAATTAACTCCTAAAATTAAAAAAATAGAAATAACGATTCACAATCATTCATAACACCTCCTAGTGGTTAAGCAGTAAAGAATAAGAAGATAGGAGGAAACACAAAGATACTATATTAAGATGTACCCTCAATGATGATGTGGAGATGAAAAAGTAATATCACCTAAAGATAAAAACTGGTAAAACAAGTGTCAGGAATTGGGTACTTTCTTAGGAAAACGACAATCTTAAAAATCATAAAAAATATTTGATCTGAAAAAAGAGAAGAAGTAGAAATAAATCCTATATTATTAGAAAAATGGCAACAATATTACAAACCATTACTAATAGTCAGATAATCAAGCTTTAATCCTAATATAAGTATTTAATAGATAATTTAACGGAGAAAGAAGAAAAATAAAAGAAACGATACAATAACTACAGTATACAAAAAATAATAATTAAAATATTAGGGACACGAAGGGGTGAATGGGAGAGAAACGGCCAACCAAAAAGGTATTGGTCGACCCCATCGAAAAAGAGAAAACGAGGCAGACCACTTAGAACATATCTACACAAAATTAATAAAGCAACGTCAGAAAGAAAGTTAAGTGAACACGACTGTCGGGATATAGACAAAGCTTGTAGAGAGATAACCCAAAGACGTATTACGGTATAACATGGATTAGATGGTGTAGTGTTATACTCAACCTCCAAAGTTTTCTTTAACTTGTAATGCTCTACTTGTATTTGTTAAAATAATATATTTTTGTATTCTTTAGAGTTACATTTTTGCACATCAATTTTGAGATTTAATGTTTCTTATGTTACTTATCTTTGTTAGGCCAAGCAGCAAGTTTTCGATCCATTAAATATTACCATTTTACCTATTTTGATGTACATCTTATTTTTTAAATTGCATCTCTTCTTAGTGATATTATACTCTTTAATATTTTAATTTATTTTGTTGTATAAAATTGAGCGAATCATAAAGTTACAATTAAAAATCATTCTTCCAAGATGTCTTGTAATGGTTTCTGCATATTTTGCCGCACTAAAATTCTAAGCCATCATATCAAAAACGAAAATGCCGACTTCTCGCAGTACGAACGGAACTTTATGAAATACGATAGTTTTGGTCTCTTTTCCGCTGGAACTTTTAGAGAAGAACCGTTGGCTGAAGTTTACCTTTTATGCCAGACTTCATGGCTATAACACTAAAGAAAGAATGGGAAACTGTAATTAGACACCTTAAAAATTCCGCTAAACTTAATCAAGGATATTCCAAGTTGGAAAGTTTTTAGTAGACACGGTTATTTCACCTAAATAAATTTTGTGCGAGGCAGAAAGTTATATTCTAAAAAGAAATGAGATAGCAAACCTAACTTTTATAAGCAGCACAACAATAATAGAATAGAATAGAATATTCTTTATTAATTACATCAGATAACATAGTGATATAGGACAAGTCATATAGTACATAAAGCATGATCAAAAAGTTATATAGGACAATTACATAAAACAAAATCAATAAAATATAGATTAATATAAAAATAAAAAAAAGATATGCAATATAGAGCGTCTCTGAACCCGTCGGTCCTCATTCCCTATAGTCTTTTATTAAGTCAAAATAATGATTAGGTTGTAAACGCATAATTGGATCAAGTATGCTTTTAATTTATCTTTGAATTTTTTAATATTATTTTCATTTCTTATATTAAATGCAAACAATTGTAAAATTTAGATCCTGCAAAATCAGGACTATTTTCAAAGAGAGTTGTGGAGTGTTAACACACGCTTATCAACCTCCCGTGTCTTGTCGGGTAATTATGAAAGTCATAGTTTAGGGTAAAATTTTGAAATTTAGTTTTGACGTGAATAATACATTTATAAATATATAAAGCATGTAAACTCAACAGCCTGTGTTCAATAAAATATTTACGACATGATTGTCTATTGTCAATATTGAATATCAATCTAAGAATTCCCTTTTGAGTTATGAAAACTCTAAAAGAGTTTCTAGAGTTTACCCATTAGACAACATTATAGGCCATATATAAATTAACCAGTGCATAATACACACTTATTAATTGATTGGTGTTAGAGTTTTCAAATGAAGGATCGCTTAGTAACCCTTATTCATTGTTTGGCAGATTTTAGTGACATTTTCATCCCATGTCATATTACTTTCTAGAATGCTACCAAGAAATAATGTTGTATCACTAAAAGGTATTTCCTTAGAACTAACTGTGATTTTATTTGTATAACCATGGGATGTGTTACAGCGCGAGTAGAACTGCATACAAATAGTTTTCTTTGCATGTACCATTAAATTCTACACAGAATTGTTACACAAATTTACGATAACCTAGAAAGTAAACAATATTTTTCCGCATCTTTCTGGATAGTCAGACTTTTGATAAAGTCTGACACACCAGCCAACTTTATAAAATCAAAAAGCATCTACCGCTTAGATTTTATGGCGTGCTAGAATCTTATATAACCCACAGATACTTCCTAGTTAGACACCAAGACACCAAAAGGAAAACACTGAACTGTACCCAGTTCAATCAGTTGTATGCCAAAGCAGTGCTCTTTTACTTGTGCTTTACCTAATATAGAGCATGGATTTACCTGAAATATACTCAATAACAGTAGGTACATTCGCGAATAATACTATAATATTAACAATACATCAAAATTCAGCTGCTAAAATGAAGCCAAATCCAAGCAGGTAACCTTTATAATGAAAAAAAAACCTGCCCACCGGTCACTATGGATGGTATACAGCTTTAACAAACCAATGACGCAAAGTATCTTAGTATGCATTTAGATCGTTGAATGACGTGGAGAACACATATCTTCACAAAATGTAATCAATTGGGATTAAAACTAAATCAAACGTACTGGCTGATTGGCACGAAATCCGGCTTAAAAACAGAAAATAAACCCCTAATATATAAATCAACCCTAAAGATGACACGAGCATGCTAGAGAACTCTGGGATAGTAAGAGTAACTTAAATTTTGAAATTCTCCAAAGATTTCAAAATAAGATCCTGCGCATCATATCAAATGCTCCATAGTACGTGAGTAATATGCTTATCAAGTATAAATATTATTTATATATATATATATATATATATATATATATATATATATATATATATCTATATATAACTATATATATCTATATATATCTATATATTATTACAGCTGCCGCCGTTTCTCGCAACCTAGCTTCCAACGCTTGCGATCGTTCCAGTCATCTACTTGTAGACCCCTATCCTCCATTGCACCTTATACTTCTTGTCTCCGCGATCTTCTTGGTCTTCCCCTTTTCCTGCACTTGGTGAGGATCCACTGTAACATCCTCTTTGGCCATCGTTGATCATTCATCATTTCTACATGGCCATACCATTTCAGCCTTTTTCATTCTATAGTTTCTAGGATGTCAATGTCTATGCCAATACGCTCTCTGATTTCAGTATTCCGTACTCTATCTCTTCTAGTGAGTTGGCAACATCGTCTCCAATAATTCATTTCCATTGCTTTTATTTTGGATGCGTCATTTTTATTTATTACCCAAAGCTCTCAACCATATGTAGCAATGCTTTCTATGATACTTTTGTATATCTTAGTTTTTGTGTTTCGGGTGATATGGTTATTTCAAAGTATACTATTCAGTTGACGTACTGCTGAATTTCCTTAACCAATTTTAGTAGCTATTTCTTTTGTATTCCCACCATTGTTTGTAATGTTTACAGCAAGATATTTATAGCTATCAGTATTTTGAATTTATTTGCTTCCTAGTTCTAAGTGCTAGTTCTAAGTGAATAATAATATATACCAACCTTAAAAACAGAAATAATACGCTATAGTTATAAACCCAAACATAAAGCCAACTATCGTCGCAATCAGGTAGTACGTGAGACACACAAAATCACAGGTGAAGGTGAAGTGCGTCGCGTAACACGATTCATCATCGGATTTAAGTTACATATTTAGTTAGATAATAACAATATCTGGAATAGTAACTTTGTAAACCAACTCTAAAAGAATTTTCTGATTGGAGAAAATTCTTATATGTGCTAATCAATATTCGTCAAAAAATTTTACTTATTTTGGTAATTAAGAATAGATTGTAAATAAAGTGGAGACAAAAAACTTCTTTCTAAGGTAATTTTTACTACGGTATTTTTTTTTTTAGTTGAAAATATAGAATTTTTATTGGAGAATTTTTATTAAAAAATTTTCTACTTCACTGCATTTAGAGGGACTTTAACAAGCTCTGATAGAAGTTTAAAAATACTTATTAATAACAAGTTTTAACAACTTAAAATTTGAAAACTCACCAAGTTGCCAATCAAGAAAGAACATCCTGTATTAACTGAATAATATTAAAAACTAAATACATTTCCCAAAATGCCAATCATTGCTAAAGAACTGTTACATTCAACATTCAAAGGATATTGGATTATAATCTACATGTGACAAATCAGGATACGTTAAATATTATATATAATCTAAACAACCCTTATCAACTTCAGTTTGTGGCTACACCGACAAAAAATATTTGTGCAGTCACAACAAGCAAAGGTCAAAGTGTTAGATTGAGTCAATAATAAATTTAATTTCTTTTTAATAATTTTAATCTAATTAAAAAGATATCTCTAGAATATTATACATCCATTTTGAAGAAAATGTTTTACTAGTTGTTTTTATTAATTGTTGGCTTAAAATAAAGACAATATCTTAGATATAACATGATAATAAAATTTTACTTCCGTAAAATTTCCTAATTTTTTTGTTTCATTTTCGTTTAAAATCTTTTGCTAGTTGGTCATAAACCATGAGAAAATATTGAAAATACTATAAGGGCATAGCGTTTATTTTACATATATTATCAAGAAAATTTTTCCTACAGAACGATTCAAGGATAAAACAAAACTTTAATCAAACACGTTACCTGACAATTTATTATTTTCCCTAAGAGGCATTTTTCTTTTATAAGTTGATGGTTGTCAATATTATTTGGAATTATTATTTATTATTGTTTAGTTCTGCTACGAAGTGCTGTTTGGATAAGAAGTTAATTCACTTTTTGCAATGTTGTATTGAAATCTCTCATCTTTCTAAAATGGTAAATATTCTCGAAATTTATCAGTGTAGAATAACTTGGACGCTTACAGACACCACTATTAAAAAACTTGAAGCATTTGAGATGTGGCTTTATAGAAGAATGCTAAGAATATCATGGACAGCAAGGATCACGAACAAGGAAGTTCTAGGAAAAATGAAGAAGGAACCAGAGATTGTGTTTACGATCAAACGAATAAAATTGCAATATCTGGGATACGTTATGAGAAATCAGCACCGTTACTCCCTGCTACAGTCTATATTGCAAGGTAAAGTCAAAGGTTAGCGAGGACCCGGTAGAAGGAGGATATCATGGCTGCGAAATTTAAGAACATGGTATAAGAAAACCTCAACGGAGCTGTTTCGAGCCACAGCGAGCAAGGTTATGATTGCCAATATCCAAAACGGATAGAAACCAGAAGAAAAAAAAAGAATAACTTGTATTTTCTTATTATGATTAACTTATTACGTAATCAAGATAAATAGGTTTGCTTGTCTTTAGTTTTTCACCAACTAGCTTCAGTTATTTTAATAGTCCTTGCAAAATTTGTTGACTGATAAGGTTTATGGCTTACAGTATTTGCCACAGTCTCTAATACAGCCACACCTTAAAGGCATATAAATCTGCTCCTAATGGATTTCAATCCCCGGTCGGCTAAAGTTTGATGCTGACTCGTGTATTGTTTTTTTTACCTTGTCAATTTAGTTAAGAGATTCAATTTAGTGTGGAAGATAGATAAATGACCTGAGGACTGGACACAATCACTATATATTCCCATACATATAAAGGGAGCGAAAGATTTATGTAGCAACTATCGCACAATTTCTCTAATTACGCACTGCAATAAGATACTCTCACACATAATTCTCGAGAGGATAAAGCTCTTTCTACTACCTAACATTGCAAAGTAACAAGCAGGTTTCATCCCCGGAAGTGGTAGTAAAGAAAAAATTCTAAACGTACGGCAGATTGTAGGAAAATCCAGAGAATTCAACATCACAACATATTTGTGCTTCATAGATTATAGTAAAGCTTTCGATTTGGTCAGCTGGAGTAAAATGTGGCAGGTTTTGTCTGAAATGGGAGTCCCCAATCATCTGGTACTGCTAATTAAAAGCCTGTACAACAACAATTATGCTGGAGTTAGAATAAATGGGGAACTAATCGATAGTTTCAGGGTCACAAAGGGCGTGAGACAAGGCTGCATCTTCTTCTTACGGTGCCTTATCCTTAAGGACGTTGGCCATTACATTTGCCCATTTAATCTTATTTGTAGCAGCCTTAATAGTTCTATGTAGGTCATGTTTGTCCATTGCCGTAGGATTATAAGTTAGAGCAGTTCGTAGGCTGCATACCAAGCCCAATTCTATTTAACATCTACGGTGAATGGATAATGCGGAAAGCTACTAAGGATTGGAACGGTGGCATCACCATTGGCGGGAAGACGATTTGCAACTTAAGATATGCAGATGATACTACTATGCTCGCTAGTTCTGAAGCTGAATTGATTCACCTGCTACAACGGATAGAAAACGCAAGCTTAACGATGGGCCTTAAAATAAACAGAGATAAAACGAGAATCATGATAATTGACAGAGCTAACAACAATCAAAATCATCTGGCCATGATAAATAATATCGGTGTTCTAGATGAATTTGTGTATCTGGGCTCATTAATAACCAACAAAGGAGGCTGTACTGAAGAAATAAAGCGGCGGTCTGCAATCGCAAAAAACGCTATGGCAAAATTAACAAAAATTTGGAAAAGCCATGAAATAACTAACGATACTAAAATGACTAGTAAGAAGTCTAGTTTTTCCAGTTTTTACTTATGCATTGGGATGCTGGACCCTTACTGAGAAAGACAAAAAGAACATAGATGTATTTGAGATGTACTGCTGGATACGAATGCTGAGAATACCATGGGTGGCCCGAAAAACAAATGAATCCATACTGGACCAGCTAAACATAAAGAAAAGACAAAGAACACAAATATCAGAACAAATAATAAGCTAATTAGGACATGTGCTTCGAAGAAATGGATTTGGAAAACTTACCATCCAGGGAAAAGTAGAAGGCAAAAGAAATAGAGGTAGATCTACGACACGATATACGGATTATATTGTTGCTAAAATTGGCGCTCCATTGTCAGAATGTGCTAGAATGGCAGAAGATAGAAAAACGTGGAGGAACATTGGGAAATTTAGCTAATAGCTTCATGATATCACGATACCTGCATCAGGTTAACGACTAAGAAGAAGAAGAAGATAGTTGTTTTACCGATATTATCATTTATAATTTATGACATAAATGAGGTATTCCAAAATTAAGCAGGAAAGTTTAAAACAATTAAGGAAGAGGTGGTGACGGACAGTGACGAAGCTGCTTGTGACGAGTACGATACTAAAAAATCATATCATGAGGAAGTAGATCTACAGTGAAGTGAATCTGAATAAGATATTTCTGATCGACGATATTAAATCACATAACATTATAAATAATTTTCTTTGTCTAAAACGAATTGCCAGGCCTTTGAAAGGGATAAGAGAAATATGAAAATACTTTATCGATGATGGTATGATAAATTTAATTGTTCAAAATTTACAAATAAATGTATCAAGTCCATTTGCCACAATTTTTTCTTACTTCGTGATACTGCACCTTTAAATTAATGAGATTGAGATTTGTACCTTACTGAGGCTACTGTACTTGGTTCGTTAATAACGTAAACGTTTTGAACGTTGAAGTAATGTGATAAACCGCTATGTCACATATAGAGCTATTATTTATTATCAGATAGAGTTATTATGGTTTACAGCGATTTATATGTCTACTAAAATGTTTACATTTTGAAGACATAAATTTTCAGGAAGAAATAAAATAACTAGATAAGCTGGTATCTACAAAGTCTTTTTAATTATTTTATAACTAATTGTCAAAATGGTTAACGTTATTCTAAATATAAAACTATTGACGAAATTCTATTAGAATTTGAAGTTAAATTGGCTTTGTTCAATACACGCTATCAAAACTTAATAAATTTGTTAAAAAATATATGCTTCCCTGAATTATCTTCATATTATCTAAGCCAAAGGAAAGTGTATGTTTAACAGCAGCCAAAAAGATCATTCAAGATTTTAATTAGTATCAAAGATGTTGTCTTGTTAAAGAATTGATGCAGAATCCTAACAGTTTGACTGTAATAGAAACGACCAAAAGGAACAAACCTGAATTATGGATAGAGATTACTAAACCTACAGCACGACCAGATGATAGTCGTATGTTTGCCTTTAGACCTAAATGTACTGGTGTCATATATGCAAGCAAAGAAGAAAAATAATGTACTCTTGGTTTCTTGTATGCAAGTCTAAGACGATACAGATTGAAGTACTACTAAAAAATATAAACCAATAATTGTCTCAGTATATAACCGTAACAAATGTAGTGTTGATGTTGTAGATAAACTATGTCCTAGTTATGGTAGCTCAAAAAATACTCGAATATTGCCAGTATTATTTACACTATTTTGAATTTAGCAGGTAATATTTCACCTGTAATATATTGTTTTCACAATTTAAATGAAAATAGTTTGAGAAGACAATATTTGAGAGAACTGACAAATGCATTATTACTCCTCATTTACAGGCAGGTACTGTAATGACAAATATATCAAGAAATTTTTAGGTTTAATTAAGAGATATGTGTGGCACTAAAGATGCTGTTCAACCTGCCCTTCCAAGAAATAATACACTTGGAAGATGCAATTATTGTGACTGGAGAAAGAACCGAAAAAAATACGGTTGTTTCATATGCAATAAATACATGGGTTAGGAACACATTACAGTTATTTGTCGATCTTGTTCGAAAAATGCCCAACATTTTCTTACAAACATTTGAATATAGAAAAGAAATTTTTATTTTTATTGGCAAAAAATTAAAATTCTTTAATTCTATATTATTCCCGTTTTAGTTTATCTGATTAAAATAAAAATCACTCTACGTTTCTTGTTTTATGTGTGTGTATTATTCTTCCTAAAAGTCACCAACTATTATTATTCACTAATAAAATCATATTTCATATTTTTTCCCCAAAACAATGTTTAATTAATATCGGTCTCTTGGACCAGCGCTACTATGCATTTCCTGAAAATCTACGCGTCTAGTGGAAGGTTCATTACTGTGGCGAGTGTAGCAATAATTTTTTTTAATCACAAACTAGTATTTTTTTACTATATTAATGTAGATTAAGTAGGTACTGTATAAACTTCAAAGCTTTTGCCAGTTTGTAGTATTGTTAACATCCTTATAATATATAAAATATATTCTCCTGTACTGTTGCAAATTTTTCTTCGAGATATATATATATACCCAGATGTGTTTCTATTAAATTTTAGTTGTTTATGTATAGGAGAACCGTTGCATAATATGACTTTCAGCGAAGATTTACAGTCAAATCAGCAATCTCTTCAAAACAAAACACGAAAATAAAGCATAAAAGTACACGTATAAGACCACATATTTACTCCCGCTTTCCTTCAACGTTATTTACTAACCCATAAATCTTATCCCGCGTGCATGTAAGATGGGGAGTTTTAAGGGAAGTCTAGGGAATTGTAAAATTTATAAATCATAAAAAAATTCTCCGCGATTGTTTAAGAATATACAGGGCTACGTCCATTTATTATTTATTTTAAAATTTATTTTTAGTCATTTTGCCGATAACACGCAAGTCGTTACTAAGGCTTCAATATCCCAGTGATAATTTGTTCCATTTTTGAGCTGTTAAAATATTGAAAATATTATATGTAAAACAACTCTTTTAGAGCTTGTGACATTTTGTAAAATTTGTAGTGGTATAAAC